CGCAAATAAGAAGCTTATATATATTTAAACCATAAATAAGTTATAACAATCTCTAATAAGTTATAATAATCTCTTTCTACTAAAGTTCCGATATTATATTCATCAAGCATTGTTATTTCATCTTATAACCAACTAAGTCAATTTATATTAATTAATATTGATTGTATGCTTATTAGTACATAATATAAAAGTCACCTGTTCAAATGTGTGTGTTTCATCATTGTATAAAACTGTACAATAAGTGTCAGGTGTCTCATATAAAGCCATGCTGTCAAACTTTTCAGGTCTGATGGTTGGCATCAAATCACTTGGTAAACCAGGAACATGTTCCAAAGTCAATAAATTATAACAATACCACAAAACTGCTTCTAAGGTAATACGCATTCTAGCTAAAATATCAGGTGGTAGTCTAGAATCTTTTGAGTTTTCTACTAATGCACCGGCCTACAACAAAAAATAATTCAACATGAGAAGTTGAAAATTTATAAACAAAAATAAATCAAACATATTTCTACAATATGAGTATCACAGAAGGGTTCACGTCTCCAAGCTTCTTTATCACCACAATCACAGCATCCTCCTCCATTGGATGTGCCCATTTTATATTTATGATTTCTATGTGCAGAATGTTTAAAACAATCCACGCATAATACACATGTGGGATCCATTCCTAATAATAAATTTTGATTAGTTAACATTATGACTACTATAAAAAACATCATATTTAATGCAAAGTTACCACATTCTCTGCAACTATATGTTGGTTCGCCCATTTTAAATACCCTGCCACAAACTGAAGGTGGATTATCTAATTTGCATAACTTTGGTAAAATATCATATGGATCACCATCGAAAATAAATTCCTCTAGATATTTAAATAAATAAACATTTTTTTGAGGATCATCTGTACCAACATCTAAAAAATAAACCCAATGTATTAAATATCATGCATTGAAATTTGTTTAGAAATAATTTAGGTATTTTAAATATTTCAAATTATTAAAATATTTTAATGTTTCAATTCCATTATAAATTTTTACAATTGTTTAATAGATGTATTGCCCTCAAAATTGAATTTCATATATATAACATGTATGAGTATAATATAGAAGCATACGAGTCACATGTTCAAATAAGCAAATTTCATAATTGTATGATATAATATTGACAAAACTTTACTTTACTCATGACCCTTTAATTTAACTTAGAGAAAATAATTTAAAAAGTTTATAATTACTTTATTCTATATTACAGATAAAAGTATCGTTCATTTCATTCTATATTATAAATTGATTAATATGTACAAAAAGGTGCCATCAACAACCAAACAAGCAAATTGACAAAAAAATCCAACACATAGCAAATGGACAAATAAAAGTAAATTATTTATTATATATATATATATATATATATATATATATATATATATATATAAGATTTAGATATTTTTGTACGACATTGAGGCATATCTTGAATGTTGATTTTCAGCCAATCGTCAAAATAAAAGAAAACAAATAATAAAATATTTATTTATATGTTTCGACACGGATTGTGTGTCATCATTCAGCAACCCTTTTTGAAATTTTTGTTATAAAGTATCTAAAAGAATTTTTTCAAAGTTTAAAAAAATGAATTTTAAATTTAAAATATATTATAGATTAAAAGATACAATGACAAGTAAAAAATTGATACTTACCACACCAAGAAAAACAATGAAATTTAAACTGAAGGTTTTAAATTTAAACTAAAGATTTGTGTCATCTAAGGTCTGAGCAAAGAACCAAATGCATTCGATAAAAAAACATGAAGACACACGAGGAACCAAACCAAAAAAATGTTTACTTTATAATGTTTATTTTCTATATGTTGATTACCAAAAAAAAATTTTTATTGTTTTTCCCGGTGTGATATGTATCGATTTTTCACTTGTCATTTTATCTTTTAATCTATATTTTAAATTTAAAATTTAATTTCTTAAACTTTGTAAAAATTCTTTTAGACACTGTATAGTAAAAATTTCAAAAAGGGTTGCTGAATGTTGACACACAATTTGTGTCGAAATATATAAATAAATATTTTATTATTTATTTGTTTTCTTTTATTTCGACGATTGTAATATATATTAACTTATTATTATTTATTATAATATATTAATATATATTATAATATATATTAACTGAATATTATTGCATAATTACTTGTTATTTATGCCATTTATCAGCACATATTTATATCATTGATATATATTTAGACTTCATACCTTTGAAATTCTAATAATTAAAATTTAAAAGATATATTTTATATTAAATAACACTAAACGCCACAATATTATCAGAAAAGTTTTCATATGGGCAATTGTAACTCTATTAGATAAATTAGTGAAAAATGTATCAAAGAAACTTAATGTAAAAAAATACTAATATGGAACACTCATGCCATACAAATGTGACTGAAGGCCCTATATTAAAACTTCTTTTCTCGAAAGCCAAGTAATTTTCAGATTTGGTTCCTGATAGACCAAGCCTTCAAAACGTAATTTATATGTAGCATTTGTTTTGGATATCTGTTGTTTTCGTGGCCTTTTACCAAATCGAAAATGTCAGTTATAATTGTCAATTATATATGATATAGCTCATGTAGGACTTCTTAGTGTCAGATATATTACATTATATATAACTGAATTAATGTGTTAATTTGCATTATGAAACTCTATAATAATATCATGAACAATAATTTTATAATTCAATTTCAATAAATTGCACCCAACCATAGTAAAAATAATAATTCAATAAGTTTAACAAGAATTAACAAAATTTGATAATTATAGATTTTTTTTACTCACGATTTGGCTGAAAAATGTTGGTAACTGGAACAGTATCTCTCCAAAAGTTTTTAAAATGTTCGCTCGTGAGTTCACCAGTTTCCATCAGTTCACGCCAAAGTTTAATCACATTTGCATCAGCTTCTGATTTGTTGAAGGGTATCATGTCTACAACACTAACATCTAGCATATCTACATCTCCATCCATTGTAATAGTCAAAATATTGTAACACTAAAATTGTAAAAAGTCAGCAAGCACCAAACATAAATAAAGCAATATATGTCAGCATGAGTAATTTTAAGGCTAATTTGAACGAAATGATTTAACAAAAAACTAATTTGGCAATTTTCCATACATGACCACAATAACAAAAAAAAACAAAAGCAGATTTTGAAACAATGTGTACCTAGATCTATAATAAAATATACGCAGTAAACAAATTTTCTTTGACAATTTTATTATGCAAATTTCAATACTTTTATAATAACAAAGGTACATACAAAATTATAATGCAGTTGAAATAGATCTAAGATATATATATATATATATATATATATATATATATATATATGTATGAAGTTATACTACACACATAAAAGTTGTATGTGCATTCATTTACATATATATAAATATATATACCTTCACAAAATAATGTTAAAAATTATGTCATTCCGTATTTTCAATCTCACCTTAACTCTTAATTTATGTTAATTAGAAAAGCACAATCTTCTTCTATACTAACTAATTTTAACTTTTGTAGTCTTCAACACGAAACAAAAACAATATTCCAATATGTTATTACTACATACCAAGAGAAAGGAACATCAGCCTATGAACGAACAATAAAAATATGCAAACTCGATACTGGTGTGAAGTCACTGTCGAAACGATCATAATACCAACATCGCCAAGTTTGGCCAAACTGCTCTTAAGTTTATTTATCTATGCCCAGTTAATGCCCAGTTCTCTCATCCACTCTTCTTTTATCTATGGAATTAATTGTTGTTCCATTCATAGATAAAAGAAGAGTATATGGTTCCATTCATTCCATTAATTTAACAATTCATCATACCTTAGACAATATAATATGCATCATACATTCATAAGTTTAGTCGTATGGTAACAAGCATTGTTCCAGATTTTTGTCGAAAATGTATGGGATAGATGATGAGTTCTGTTCCCGAATCTAAGATAAATATTGCATAATCCGTTCAACAAAAAAAAAAAATACTTTCTGAGGTACTTGAAATTTCAATCTACGAATAACTATGATTTTTACCTATAACTAACTATGAACTAATTGAAAATAAATGAAACGCTTTAAGAAGAGCCATTAAAATTAAATAAGACTTATTCGATTTATTTTAGTATCAATCTAGTGGAAAAAAAAATATTACAAAGTACTATAGCTCCAGAAAAGGTTTCAATAACAAATTTAATGAACTCTCGTAACAAAAGCTTAGTTTGGTGCATGTGCATTATATAAAGTTCTGAATGCAGGCGTATATAGATAAATTCTACTGTATCAACATTTTTAAAATGGGCAGGACAAAATTCTCTTAAATCTATTTTTATTGGATTTATATGATTTGCGTAGTAATACATCTATAGACAAAATGATTTTTTCAGGTACCATATTTTTAGCTCATGACTTTCACATTCCTCAGTAAACACTAAATAAATAAATTATTCAGAGATACTTGGAAAATTATTTATCAAATTTTATTTACAAGATTAAATTAATTAATATTAGTAAAAAAATATGTTCATGGTTACCAAAAATAATATTTTCAGATGTTGATATATATCATGGTCCGATTCTAAACAAGTTCTGATTATTAGAATAAATCACCTTTGTTTTGGTTTTGGTAAACATTTAATGTAAAATCAGCTTCATAAATAAAAGAGTAAATCGAATTCCTCGTGCAATAGCAAAACTAAGTCTTATAGTGAAACAACAATGAAACTTGTTGCCTTATTATTTCAATAGTATATATCAGCTTATCAAAATTTGGAATAATCATCAAGTAATTATGAAATCCTTAATACTTTTGAGTTTTCGAACAAAGATACTATTCAATATAAATAACATGTTGAATTAATTCAACACGTTAATGTGTAACTATATTAAAACCATTTCATTACTTACATATTCATTTATTTACAGTTCAATAAATTGTTCTTAGAGATTTCATTAAAAATTACTAACATATTAAAATTGCTTAACCAACTTGTTGTGCCAATTTCTGTTGACGCACAAGGAGTCGGCGCTCTCTCTCATATTCCTTCATACGCAAAACATGACTGAAAAATATTACATAGTTATTTCAATTAAAATATAATATTGATAAATAACTTATCAAATGGAAACTGTATTGAAACAAAGTTTACTTTATATAAAGCATATTTACAATGCAACTTTTTTTTAATTAGTACCAAATTTGGATCAAATAGCTGTACAAAAGTCTGCACAGTTTATATAAAAATATAAATATTAATCTTATTGCAAATATATATATATATATATATATATGTGTGTGTGTGTGTGCTTGTTTGATCCTTATAGTTTTTAACAATACATCTTATTTAGGAAGGTAAAATGAAAACACACTGTGACTTATATAGCGCAAAATACACATATATTATATATGCATATATATTATACTGAAATTAGTATACTTTTGCTAAAGTTAAATAAATTTAAATATATTGGATAAATATTTTCAAGCTAGTTACTTTGCAAGTAACGTCCATGCTACATGCAAAGATATAATATAATTAATTGAATTCTCTTTTTAATAAACAATTTTTAATGACCAGAAATGAATATTTGTTGGATAATGCATTTTTCATTACAGGTAATTACTACCTATAGCAGAAAGTAGTACTATTTTATATTTAAAATGTACAGTAATGCATAAAGTTTTGAAACAGTACAGTAAAACCTCCTTATTCGCGGGGGATACGTTCCATAAAAATTTAGTGAATAAAAAATCCGCAAATACAGGATGGCATTTTATATGGAATGATAAGGATACGTTCCCAGGTGAATAAATAATCCGCAAATAATGGATAAATCTGCAAATACAGGGTGGCCTTTTATCTGGAATTGTAGGGAATACATTCCATGGTGATAAAACAAAGAAAAATTAATATTATTAAAAATTAAATTAATATTAAAATAAAAGTCAATTTATAAAAGTTTTACATTAATGTTAGATGTGGTACTAAACTTATTACCAACTAATTTTAATATGAGAACTGTTATACTTAAGATATTGCATATCACATAATAGTTTTCAGCAATATATATAAAACAAAAATTATTTTTAATTATAGTTTTTGTACATCTTGATTAATTTTGTTGAGGCTAAGGCAATGATTTGAAGAACTTTGTAATATTGTTTTGCTTATTTAATTCAAACTGATACTGTCACATCAGTAATTTGCCTCTTAAAAATAACACTTTCCATATATGGATCCATATAGAAATCGGACAGTTCTTTTTTAATTCTTCACTAAGATTTTTCAAATTATTGATTACGTTTCTATTGCTTGCAGAAGCAATTGAAGTGAATTGCTCTTCTTCAATGGACTGGGAATGTAGATTTCATGTCGATTTGAAATTTTACTAAAAATCTGTTTTATTCATTGAGTAATAAATAAGGTTGTTTTCATTCTATTAGTTTACATTCTCAAAAACACTGATAGCGGCAAAGACGGTCAAAAAGACAGTATATAGTGAGTTTGGTTTCGATACATATTGGAATCCGCAAATAACGAAATTTTTAGCCGCGAATATAGAAATTAGGTCACAATTTTTTTGGAATAGCGAAAACGCGCATATAGGAAGCGCGAATAAGGAAATTCCTGTATAATATGAATATACACATACATAAATATTTTTGCAATAATCATTTGTTCATTTCAAAATGTTTAACTTACTCTTCGTATTGGCAATTCATGTATTCATGTTTATCGTGGGAACATTTATAAACAAATGGCCAAACATCATCTTGACAAGATAATAATTTTAGAAGTTTGTGCGCACAATAGTCTCGATTTTCTAATGGTACTTTTGCAGACATTAATTCTTCCTTTGTTACCAACATTTCTGAAATAAATGTCATTCTTTCAACACTATCAAAATTACATAATCATACAAATTTTTCTTTTTTTTTAATTATGATTTATAATTATGTTATGACAGAAAACAAATGATTTTTAAATCGCTTTATATTTTGTACCTCTTGGTTTTCTTCCAGATTCAAATCCCAATAATGGATCGAAAGTTATTCCCTTATCAGGATGAGGATTTACTTCGGGATGTACGTATACGCCCCATGTGTTACCCATTGTTATAATTTTAATTCAGCAAATTCCTAAAAAATAAATAAAAAACAATGAACTTAGTTCGACACAATTAAACTTAATGTCAAAAAAAACAAGAAAGTTATTTCTTACTGTCAAAACCGAACTACAGTACATGCCGTAGTTTGCGCACACCATTGACTCATGTCAAATGTCATCCATGTCATTGTCAATCCATAGACAATATAAAAATTGTGCGTTTTGAAATGCAATTGCAATGTCACTTATCCTAGCCTAGATAATGTTATAATATTACTTATCATCTTATCAATATTTATTATAAATGATTATAAATATGATGCAAAACATTTAGCACAGTAATCGTCAATACTATTTACCTTCTTTAGATAAGCAATTTAACTTATCTTTTGTAACGGTAGCCGATTTTCTTCTATCGATGGAACTTTTTACTCTACAAAGTGGCAGATCAAACTTCATAGTTGTAAACTTACACTTCTGCTATCAACATTTCGATTATAAATATAAACAAATTTTGTACAGAAATGATGTAAAATATATTCTAACTGGCATCTGCCTCTCCTAGTGTCCCACTAGACTTTTTCTCCATATAAAATATCGTAATAATATGATTGCAAAGAAATTGAATTGTTATTACATTTTTATTTGTAATAATAAAAATGTACATATATCCTAAACATGATACCTTGCACGCCTTGCGCGGTACAAACGGTTAACGTAGGCATATTATTTATTTTTTACTTTCCGAAGATGTTTTTGATTTCACCAGAAAGTCCAATTTACTATTTTTACATATTTTTGATGGTTCAAATCATTCTGAATCGTGTGAGATTAAAATTGAAGAAATTACGTGTGCCCATAGACAAATAAACATAAGTGTATGCCAAAAATCCTGAACCGATTTTAAAAATCTGAAGATTATAATAAAATTTACCATAGCGATGGAGTTCACAGTCTGAAAAAGCATATAAAAATATTATAAGCCCATGGAAAGCGAATTAATTTGAAAATTGTATCTAAATATCTATATAGCTAACTTAATCTCAATTTTTATTTATTAAGTATTTAATAAAGAAATATCGAAGACCAATTTTATCCACATTGAAACTGATACATATTATTTCAATTAATAAGTACAACACACCCACACACACACACACACATATATATATATATATATATATATATATATATATATATTATATTATATTATATTATATTAGTGTGTGTGTGTATGGGTTTCTATGTATTATGTAATTATTAAATTTTGCAAATAAAACATTTATCATATCTTTTCCAAATACATATATGTCCACATTATTTATACATCATTTTTATCACATATAAGATGCATGCAGAAATATCAAAAATATATAAATAACATATACTAATTTGAATTACTATTGAATGTTTACTGAAAAAAACTAAAAATAAAATTATAAAAGGGTCAGTTGATCTTGAGAAGACTATAAAACGCAGGAAAAACTTTCAGTTCTTCTCATGTGAATATGTTTATATTTAAATTTCAAAATACATCTTTATTTATAATTTTGTATCTGCAAATATATTAAACTTACGTCACATAATGAAGTTATATTACATACAGAAACATAGATAACATGGAACTTTCAATCATTTTCATCAATGTTTTAATTGAATAATAATTCAACAAAACTTTTTAGACTAATTTTATTTAATATTAAAATTAATGATACAAGAGACTGTTGGAAAAACTATTTCAATAATTAAAATATTAAAATTGAGGGACTGTTAGAAAAACTATTTCAATAATTAAAATATTAAAATAGAGTTTGGCACTATTAGTTGATTAAATTGTAAATAACAAAATGTTCTATTTAAATTTTTTAACATAAATATTTTAAACTAATTAAGAATGTACCGTAAAAAAGCAAATATTTTATATCCGGAACTATCTAACATTTTTATTAAAATTAGCCATATAATTTGATATGTAATCCACAGATTGTAATTGTATCAATCAGTTCAGTTTATTTTCTACTGACCCTTGGTTGCACATACATATATTCAAATAACATTTATCCAAACTTATGGATAATATTCTTGAATGCTTACTACCACATACTCGATATAAATAGTTAATTAAATTTGCATTTTAAATATAGTATCTAAATATATTTGAATATATATATATATATATATATATATATATATATATATATATATATATATACATAAACATATATTCTTGGTCTTTTAATTAACAAGTACTTAAAGTTTATTTTGTACGAAGTGAAATCATATGTTATTACTTACAAAACTACACACACTTGCAAACATATATATATATATATATATATATATATATATATATATACATATATATATATATTTGCAGATGTATGTGAATATAAAACAGAATGTTCGCCATAACGTAAAGTACTGGCAAATAATATCTCTCACTTAAATTTTATAAATATATGTACCTTATCATATAATATTATTATAAAAAATATATTTTACTCAATTATAATCATTAAATAGATTATGCACAATAAAATCTAAATAGTTTTAGCCTCTTCATTTGCTCATTTTAGCAAATGGAAAAATAGACTCTTTTACATATATAATGAAATCAAAAGAAATTTTTTTAAACCTCGCACATTTTGAGTGATAGCTATTCTATTTAAATATTTCTTAAATACTATAAAAATATTATTATTACAAAATATAACAAATTTACATTGAGATATTATTCAGCTTTGTGATGCACTCCTTATATTTTGAATACCACTTATATTCTTAATATTATTACCACATATATCTTTAATACCACTTAATATCTCATAAAAGAGACATCACGGTGATCACACAAATTTTAAAACTTATGATTTAAATTATATTCACAGATCTGTTGTTTATACTTTAAAAACATATTTTATATTTTTAAAATGATTTTAAAACTTATGAACTAAATTTTATTCACAGATCTGTTGTTTATACTTCAAAAACATATTTTGATATTTTTAAAACAATCACTTAATGTACACATTCACATAAAGTTATCGGAAGGGTTTTTGTACATATTATTATATAGGTCTTAAATTTATTTATATTTAATGAGGAGAAAGATGAAACATATATTAGCTACAAAAATAATTATTTAAATAGAATTTTATTGCAAAGAAATGACTGATATATAAAGCACTTAAGCACCTTATTCTTAGAGATAATAAGAAATAAAAAGTATTGTAAAATTTCATTATCTCTTACAAAACATTTTACATGCATAATAAATGTCTTGTAAATATTACTCTTCACATAAATTATCCATAGTATATAGTATATAGTATATATATATATATATATATATATATATATATATATATATATATATTAGGGTGGTCCTTAAAATGGTCATTTTCGAATTTCCTTGCTCCCAGGGGCTCAAATGGTTTCAAATAGATAAAAAACAATCCTCTGAAAGTTTTAGCTCTTAAGATTAACGTTTAGATAGAGCGCAATTCAATCAAAGTTTTGTATGGAGATAGCATGAAAAAATTTTCAAAAATTTTAAAAATGTTGTTTAGATGTAATTTAGCGAACAAATAAATGAATAAAACTCATTCATTTGTCGCTAAGTTATACCTAACACATTTTTTTTAAATTTTAAAAAAAACTTCCATGCTCTTTCCATACAAACTTTGATTGTATTGCGCTCTATCTAAACGTTAATATTAAGAGCTAAAACTTTCAGAGAATTGTTTTTTATCAATTTGGAACCATTTGAGCCCCTGGGAGCAAGGAAATTCGAAAATGACCATTTTAAGGACCACCCTAATATATATATATATATATATATATATATATATATATATATATATATATATATATATATATATATATATATAATTTATTTATTTATTTATTTTATTACCACATTTGTATACTGAAATCAAATTTGGTTCGCCTAGCATTAAAATTCACAAAATTTGAAAACATCAATTATGAACTTTTAATATCAGAAAGAATGACCTAATATATGCATTGTATAATTATTTTAATATTGTATTAAATACTTGAGCATATATAAAGTAAAAATATTGAATTATGATGATTGAAAATTATTTGTGCTTGCATGTATTTTTGCAAGTTGTATAAATAATAAATAACAAAATAAATTTACAAATCCAAGGTAATACATATATTTAATATCCTCAGTGCTCTTAAACTATTTTAGATACATATGTTACAACATGTATATTACATGTACATATGCGTATATATATATATATATATATATATATATATATATTTAAGTATCTTTTTCTATTATAGTATGAGTATTCATTTCTGATGAAATGTATACTCATACTATAATTTAGTATGAGTATTCAGTTCATCATATCAAATAATATTTTTAAAGAAATTAAAAGTATAGTGGCAAGTGTGCAATAAATGTGAAAAGAAAAACTAACAAATTCACATAAAATGCAAAAGGATCAAATTTATACTACTGTGTAACTATCTGCAAATCATCATATGTACACTGTTTCAAACAGCCGATACTTGGCCATTGTCATCTTCTGAAACAATTGAAGAAAATACTGTTGAATATATATGTTATGATTAATATATTTTTACAAATTTAGCATTTATATTGTTATAAATTTGACTTACAGAATACCCCTTTAACCCATTCGAGACCAATTGCACACCGTGTGTGCAATTGCTTTCCAAGGCTATAAGACCGGTTGCACACCCTGTGTGCAATAATGATAATGAGCAATTATCAGTTATTCTGAGTGATATAGTCGTCGAGATAAGATTTTTTTTTAATTAATAGTATCTGTAAGGTACAGAAAAACAAAATTTGGCATTGATTTTAATTCGTACTAAAACAAAACAATTTTGAATTTTGAAATATACTAATAATTATTTCAAAACCAGTGTGCTGTTTCCTAAAAATGTATTTACAAATTATATTTTCTTCTTCATTACTGAGTTACATTACTTTATTACCTTTAGACATTATTCTAAAAATTTATTTCTTGTTTATATTATTTTTACAACTTACTTTTTAGACTTTTTACTATTTCTTAAAAACCTTCTTTGCATTAAATTCTGTTCCTCATTATTGAAAGCAACATAACGATTTTATATTATATAATTATTTTTAAAACAAATGGTTAACAATTTTAATGAAGTATTCAAGCCGCTCCTCGCAATAAAAATTTTCTGAGGATCGAGTTGCACACACGGTGTGCAATCATCTTATCTATGCAAATTTGCGCACGAATTGGGTGATTTCCGTAGTAAACAATTTTTTATTAAAAATGAACAATATAAACAAAAAAAAAAAAAATCACTCCTGGGGATCGCGTTCGAAAAAAATCGCCGTCTGGAATGGGTTAATAGAATATTGCATTGATTAGGGAAAGGGCAAATCTGTTTTCGAAATGAACAGTTGAAAAATTTATAGCTAAATTTCAATTTTTATTGACTAAGTCAATTATTTACTCGTATCAAGAACTTAATGCCACTCATAACTAGACTATAAACGATAAGCATCTACTTACCGTCATCCGTGGGTCCCGGATTCTCCATTTGATCACCGTGACGGTAGTAGCAGGCAGTTACCCCTTCATGACTATGGGCTCTGCCGAGTCGCTGAATTTGCATTATTTTAGCAGCTTCAGAGTACGGCGGAGGTCCAGCGCGTGCTGCGCTTCTGGGAACCGATGAAGACACGGGTACAGCGGCAACTAATAAGAATCGAATTGAAATAGAGTACAGCCAAATTGAAACTTACTATATAATCTTATATATAAAAATGGATCGCAAAATGTGTTGGTAAGCGCCTAACTCAACAACGCCTGGACCAATTTGGCCAATTCTTTTTTTAAAATGTTTGTTGAAGTCCAAGGATGGTTCTTACGGAAAAGAAAAAAATGAATAATTGCCGGAAAAACCCTAAAAACAGCCCTTTTCTTTTTCTCATACAAACGTTTTCTAACTAAAACGTAGAATCAATTTGAGCTTTATTGCTATTATGTAAAGTTCATATTAACAAGCACTCACTGTATACTCCTCCTAAACGATTATTCGGATTTTGATAAATCTTTCTGAAGTTTGTTAAGGAAATTTTCTAGGATTTATGTGATTATAAAGTACTGAGATGTATGTGCAATATTGTAGAAATAAATGGAAAAAATTGCAAAAAACAACATGTCATAGTTTGCATTGAAAATAAATGAAAAGTATCACCTGCCAAAAATTGCAATTTACTCATGAACCTAGGACAATATTTTTAAATATTTTCCACAATATTTTTAAAATTCGTACAAATTTCACTTTATAACAACAAATGGGAAAGTAAAGATGGATACATACAATTCGGCCCTCACTATATCGATTAGGAGAAGTTTAAGATGCAATTTTGGATATCTTAAATAATAAAAAATTCAATTAATTTAATCCAACATGAAGTACAAGTATTATGTTATGGTTATGGTTATGTTATACCGTTTAAAATACTTCAATTTCCAATATAGTGTTCTACATTTTACATCGCTCTTATTATAATACATGTATATAAATTTTGGCGTGAAGAGTGGCGTGTATTATATTAAAAAATTGTAGACATGGGTACAGAACAACGTCTGTCGGGTCATCTAGTAATATATAATATTATTATTAATAATAGGTACATTTTAATTTCGCCAGTAATAATGTTTTTTTACCAGTGTGTAACGAGTTTTCTAATAACGAGAAAAAAATGATGGAATGCGCAAAATATATTATATATAAATATTAATGAATAATATATACAGAGTGCTCCAGAACTCAAAGAGGCGACAGCAATGATTCTATCATGAAAAAAAATAGAAAAAAATTCTAGAAAGTTATGAGCTTTCAAGTACAACCTTGAACTTTGATCAAACTATGAACATTTTTACTGCAGTTATTTTTCATAAATTTTGTTCATTTATACCGTGGAACCGTAACCCTAAGTAATATTTCTAGAATAGTAATCAAAAGTAATAACAGAATTTTCCTAAGTTTTCTAAAATTAAGACTATTTATTGAACTATGAATTTGAAATTTTCAAAATGCCATTTTAAATGGCTATACATTTAAAAATTTGTGTGCTTTGACAAATTTCATTAAAAGTTCGCGCATTTAATGAGAATTGTAAAATGGTGCAATACTTGTTAGTATTATACTTAAAAAAGGAGTAAAAAATAAAAACCTGTTAACGATACAGAATTTGCTAAGACATTTCACACACAATCAGTTGAAATGATTCTGACTCACTTATTAAGCTAGAGCAAATAAAAAACTATGGAACTAACTTTCAATCTGTATCGGATAATTTTGTTTCTAATTTTTTATGATATATTCTATTACAATCAATACTGTTACCCTCAACATTGAGTTCTGGGTTTTATGTTGTGAGCAGCACTTTAATCCAATATCATTTATAATTCAGTTCTCTACCTATTGCTCTAATTTCTACTACGGCTTTTAATTCCATGCATTATTTTCTCTCATATATATTTTTCATCTTATACCAACAATGTGATTAATATATAATTACGTTTCGCATTCAAGTTTTTGAATTTATAAGATCTATTAAAAAAACCATTATTAAGCAAATAACATTTTTATAAAAAAACAATATAGTTACAATATATAAAAAGCAGAAAAATGATATTGAACATATCCTAAAGTTAAGACATATAAAATAAACATGCATATGCACATAATATGTAAACCCAAAGGCGCAAAAAAGCATGAAAAATTATAATTTATGATATGTAATGTTTCATACTTATTGTTAGAGATATCCAATGTAAAGTTTAATAAATTAGAACATAATATGTGATTCAAAAACTCGGTTTTGCAATGTTTGAAATATTTATAAAGATCATAGGCTAAAATGCTAAACTGCTGAACTGCGCATTGAATACTCAAACATAAACAAATAAATCATTCTCAATAAACACCGTGTCGTTAATATATATATTTAACCCTTTCCAATCGCAAATTCCGAGATTTATATGAATTTTGCCCAGAGCGGCGGCATCTGAGTGGAAAGAGTTAATATAAGAGGATAGATTAGAACTAAAATAGTCGATACTTTTATCCAATACAGTTCAGTAGTAAAGACCAGGAAAATAGTACTTGACTTACCGTAGCGGTTTAGATTATGCGAGAAGGCGGGCAGTGCTTGGGAATGTGCAATTTGGTGCGGTAAGAGATGATGTTGGAGATGTGCTTGTGTAGGAGTATAGTGCGTGTCGTCGTCATGCCCTTTCGTACGAACAACGAAAAAACCGAACACCAAAAACAAAACAAAAAAAAAATCAATATGAAGATCGAAAATAAAAATGAAATTTATCTAATGAAAGTGTAATTCTGTAATTCTAACATGAACAGCTCACCAGTAACCCCATAAAAAACATGCCATTTAAAAAAGATGACTAAAAATTAAAAAATAAATAAAAAGAAAACATAAGCAAAAATCAATATAAAGGTCGAAAATAAAAATGAAATTTATCTAATGAAAGTATAATTCTATAATTCTAACATGAACAGCTCACCAGTGACCCCATAAAAAGCATGCCATTCAAAAGAGATGAATAAAAATTTAAAAAAATAAATAAAAAGAAAACATAAGCAACAATCAATATAAAGGTCGAAAATAAAAATGATATTTATCTAATGAAAGTATAATTCTATAATTCTAACATGAACAGCTCACCAGTGACCCCATAAAAAGCATGCCATTCAAAAGAGATAAATAAAAATTAAAAAAAAATAAAAAGAAAACATAAGCAACAATCAATATAAAGGTCGAAAATAAAAATGATATTTATCTAATGAAAATATAATTCTATAATTCTAACATAAACAGCTCACCAGTAATCCCATAAAAAGCACACAATTTAAAAGAGATGAATAAAAATAAGAAAAAAATAGAAAGAAAAAATAAGAAAAAATCAATATGAAGGTCGAAAATAAAAATAAAATTTATCTAATAAAAGTATATTTCTTTTATTCTAAAACGAGCAACTCACCAGTAACCCCATAAAAAGTATAAAATTTAAAAGAGATAAACAAAAAATAAAAAAAACAAAAAAATAAATAAAACAATATGAAGGTCGAAAAGAAAAATGAAATTATAATTCTATCATTCTCATGCAAACGGCTTACAAGTAAGACCATGAAAAGCAAACTATTTAATAAGGATGAATTAATATATATATATGTTAGGTTGTCAAATATCTCCCTTCCGCTTTTTTGCTCTTGGTTTATAATACAAAAAGGCGGAAGGGAGATATTTGACAACCTATTATTATAAGTTCTTTAAGGGCATACATCAAATAAAAGGCAAAGATTTAGAAGTTAATCTTTAATTTTTCCAAACGTTTCGACATAGTATTTTATGTCATCATCAGTGGATATAGATACGGTCTTACATCAGTAGCTAGCGCAAGGAACATAATTTTGCACTATCATATATACATTAACTTGTTTTTTTTATATTATTTTGTTGAACAGAGCATAGCAAAATATTTGTGAAATATATAATATATTTTGCACAGAGAACGTAGTTTATGTGACAGAGCCCGAGGCTGTAGTACTACAGGAGTTGACTACAGCCTCGGGCTCTGTCACATAAACTGTTTTAGATTGCCATTCCATATCAACATATCAATTGTAATACTTTTCACCATAAATAAACTAAGAATTATTAAGAATTGCATGTCTGATAAATACCTTGCAATGCTGAATGCCTTCTCTGTTGTAGATTTGGACTAGGTGTGCACTGCAAGTGATATGAGGTATCAAGTTGACCAGGTATTGAAGAACTATGGCCACTATCACTGGATGTCACAGAACCTGAAAATAATTAAACGTCTTCCTTGTTAAAATCATTAAATTAAAATTTTAGATTTTCATATCTTAACACTTTTGACAAACCAATTTCAACCAATAAACCACAATATGAACCAAGTTGTAATTCACTACATTTAGATCATTTCCTGTTGGTGCATTCAACTACTTTCACACAAAATCAGTTTTCATCATAAAATGTAATAAACTATTTATAAAATTGTAAGAATATATCGATGAAAGAATTATAAATGTACAATTTCAAATATATAAAATTAATATATTTGTTATCAAATAAACCTAAAACCTAAAACAATCAATAAAAAATAAACAAAAACCAATAGAAACCATAAGTTTGTATGCTTATTTAATTACAATAAAGATTAATAATATATGTAGGACAAGTAATAACACTATCTAATGCTACTAATATTTTAAAAACCAGAACATAATTCATTGGTACCGTTTAAAGGAAAATCTATGCATGCCGATCAAATACGAAACTAAAAAATGTGGCCAATATAAGCAAATTAATCCAATAACCAAGCAGTAAGTATTAAAAATATTTTCACCAAAACACTATTCTAAAAACAATAAAAACATCAAATTTGTACATTATTAAACAAAACGCACATACAATCTATTAGAAAGTAAAATAAAAGAACAACACTGAAACCACAAATATTACTAATCGACATTCTAAAAAAGTAATAGAAAAGCTGAGAATACAATATAAAAAAACACATGCATTATATAAATAAAGAGTGTATTTATGCAAAATTTCATTGATGTTCATTTTACATTTTAGCCACGCTACATACACGTGCCATGTAATTAACACACATATATAAAATATTTAATATATACAAAACAAACACATAAATATATATATACTACTACAACTAAGTGTTAATAGATATTTGTGAAAGCTCAATATAGCAAATATTTGTTTCACAATCTTAAACTTAGTATCACAGCTTTGTAGTTTAATATACATCTCATTTTAACAACTTAATATAACTATAAAATGAGAAAGCACATTAACATTTAATTCATGTCCAACCAAACTAATATTCAATAAAATTTGTTTTCTATTCAAATCTTGAATATAAATATTCTGAAGTTTATTGAGTCTGATTAAAATAACCTGGATTTGTTTATTTTAACATCTAACTCTGATCAAAAACGTGCTCCAGAAATAGAAGCACTATATTATAATTTACGTTCAAAAAGTTCCAATTAAGAATAATTGCTATGAATTTAAGAAATTATATTAGTTTAGGTTGGACTTTAGATTGCAGATTAGGGCTGTCAATTTAAATTTAAAAGAATATCAATCCAGTGACAATTTTATCCATATAAATTAATATTATAAGTATTTTTATCTAGTTTTATTCCTATATAATAGGATTTTCAGTAGAAAATTCCTTTGCGATACTCCAAAGTTATATTTGATCAAGAAAAATAGATTGTGAAATACTGTTATGGTAATCTGTTAATATGTTTACTATATAATTATTAGCTTTGTTGAGAGAGCTAGTTGAAAAAACACAAAAATATGAGATTATGTACATTGTGCATACATAATTCAGGTATGATAAAAATGAAAACATATATGCAATTAATAAACACATTAATAATTACCAGAACAAATGGCAAAATGATATATTATACCAAATTTGGTACAGCATGTACCAATTTCAAAGTTAATACTGACACTGTATTCTAAAAAAATGTTGTTGATCATTTATTTGGTAAATATTGATATCTTTAAAATTATGTACATCGACATGCCAAGTAAAATATAAGAAGTAAACATTATACTATAATACCAGTGCTTCCCAAACGCTCATGTGCGGAGTGGCGATTCATAAAAAATAACATTATTAAAGTTAATTCAAATCATCAAATTGATTTCTGCGTAAATAAATATGAAAAAACATTCAAGTAAATAAAACAGTTATTTTTTACTTTCGACAATCCGCTAAAGCAAAGTGTGGGCTCATTCATGCATTGTTTTTTCACATTGGTTTTCTACAAATTAAATCATTTATACGCGTATAAAATAAGCTTTTATAACTATTATTTATCAAAAAAAAAAAAAAATGTTAAGGAGATTACTACTGAGATGTTACCTTTGTACAAAAATATAAAATATACATATATATTTATATAGTTAAAACTATAAAAATATTATCTCATAAATAATTAACTAAATTAATCAAATAATGATTTTCATGTGTTTTATAAACGATTAAAAATGTCGTTTTAAGGACTAAATAAGCAAATATGATCAAATACTTATATACTGATGCTTGAAAGCTATATTTACTGTAAATACAAGCCTTTAAAATCAAAAATCAAACAACAAGTTTTCGAGTTTATTTTGAAATTAAAACTGCTCCATCAAGCGCTGATGAAAAATGCTATTGTTGTATGAAATTTTGTATGTTAAACTATAAATCAAACAGAAAACGAATTTTTTTATATGAAATTAACACCGATAATCAACTAAAGTTAAAGAAACAATCAAATCTTATACTTATGCACATATAGTTTCTGATTTAAATAATTTTCTTTAAGCAAAAATAACTCATATTTTTAAATGTGCTGATGGTCAATGAATATATAGATGGATGATCAATACTTTTAGAAATATAATAATAGTGTCGCATTCCATATTAGCAATAAATTCTAATAAATAGTTGAAATATACATTTCGCATATATTAATAAATTTTCAAATATTGTCTAATTGAATCTTTACAGTTAAAACTTATACAAAAAAGTATATCTTTTAAGATAAAGCAAGTTTTGCAACTATGCTGATAAATAAGAAACTTATCCCACATTTCAAATTAATCTATCACCACAATGATTGCTTGTATAAATGTCATCAGTACAATCTGAATTTGATATCTTACCCGAAGTGACCGTTTTCCTCAGGGGCATGTTGCTTAATGATGTGACGCTACTGCTCTCAGCTGACAAATCGACTGATGGCAAAGGCGTAGGCGTATCGGAATGCGAACGTTCGTGCATTCCGACACCAACTCCGCCACCGACCACTCGACCGACCATGCCGCTGCCATTACTACTTATGGAATGAACGTACACTTGACTTCCGCAGCATGCAGGGCCTTAAAGACAAATTTAAACAACAAATAAAGATCTGTATCAATAATCAAAAGTTCTAAATATATCGTAGTCTAGCAATAATCAAATTCAATTACAGTAGAACCTCGATTAGCCGGACTAATTGTTGTCGATAGGCATTCAAAAATCCGGATAATCGAATATATGAAGAATAATGTTGTGTATTTAATGAAAATAACAAATACATGCATAGACATCAACGGAAATAATGTTCATTGGGAAATTAAAACTTCCCTATGTATGCACATATAGATTTTCTTAGATTACATTACAAACATATACTAAACTTAATCATGCAAAAATTCGATTTGTAGATATGTACATACATAGAAATTGATCGCGGTTGGTAGTCCGGATGATCGCGAATCCGTATAACTGAGGTCTGGATAAACGAGGTTCTACTGTATAACCAAATCAATAAAGACATAAAACGGGCAAACTTAGAAAGTCCTTAGAAAGAGCTCCAATTCTTTTTTAATTTCAGTTTTTTAATAGTATTCAAAATCAAGAGTCCTTTCAGAAGGTAGAAATAATTATTTTTATTGTTAAAACAATATGTATGTTATTTATATAGAAAAGTAAGTTTTTGAGTAATTTTTTTTAATAAAAAATGTGTGTTGCTTTTCGTGTTAAGAACAGTTTTTACAAGTACAGTTGTTATTGATCATTCATTATTTAGATCATATAAATTTTCTTCTTGGTCAAAATATATATAAGAGCTATGTTTTTTTCTGTATAAATGTACAATGATAAGACAAAATTAATATAAAATGACCTACATTTTTATCATTTCACTCTTATAAGTATCTTTCATAATTTTCGAGATATTATGAAAAAAAAAGTTTTTTTAAAAATTAAACTTTTATTTCTAAATTCGTGACTTTGAAAAATTATATGTGTTATAAAGCAGCCAAATTGCTAAAATACATTAATACTTCAATATAATTAATTCTGTACGTCATTCGCTCACGATGAAATTATTTCAATACGGGTCGATTGTGATTAGTCATCGTGTATGTGAATAGAGATCTGTCGTAGTATGCGTGCCGGCATCAACGTTGAATGCATACCAATATCAACAAGAAAATCGGCATAGCTAAATAAACATTCTAAGATACATCGTAGTAGTACAAATCTTGATTTAATGAAAAATGCCTGAATCAGAAGAATATTTTATCCTGTTCCTTTAAAATAATAAAACAAATTAAACATTTGTGCCGTGCACTAAACATAAGTTCATTGATTAGAAATTATTTCTATATTATTCGAAGTTTCTATAAATCTTTGAAGTTATTAAAATGGAAAATATTTTAGGCAAGACAGATATTACAGTCGTTCAAAGAATGAGATTATATCGCCAGCGAAAAAGTAAAAAAATACAAGCAGTCAATGAATGTATGTTAATTTTAATTACATGAAGTTCTTCAAACACAATTACATGATGAGTGAAGTTGCAAAAACAATATTTGTTTAGGCGTTGTTTAACATAATCCACTGTGTGAACAAATATTATAGAATTTATTAATCAGCAATTACTTCATTTCTCTAATTAAGGTTCATTTCTAAACCCTAATTACAATAACAAACCGATCATGTCATATTTGAGTATGACTTTAATTACATTATTTAAATATTATCCATATTTTTTATGCTATTATAATTATATAATTTATAATTTAACATTATATAAATGTGTATAATGGTTGAAACTAATAAATTACTATTCAACATTATTCAAAATTGTTATATGATGTATTTATTTTTACTTAAATGCCACCTTGTACAGTAGCAAATAAGTTTAGCTTCAATCGCGTGTAAACCTTACGCGCACTCTTTTTTTTATGATATAAAATAATATTCAATTAATAACTGTACTTATAATAACTATCATTAACACAAAAATAAATATATAAATATTTTTTTTCAATGAAAACCACTCAAAAACTTATTTTCTTATATAAATAACATACATATTGTTTAAATAGTAAAAATAATTATTTCCCTTTCTTAAAGGTTTCTCTTTTTTAATAATATCAAAAACAAAAATAATAAAAAGAATAAAATAGGAACTGTTTTTGAAGTCATATAATCTTTACTGACTTGACTAATAGCGTAATTAAATATAATATAATACAATTAATGAGAGCAAGAAAAAATATTGAAACACATTTTAGAAAGAAAATAATAATATATGAAATAATTATAGCAACACCTTATTGCATTGCTTATTGAATAAGATTTCATATATAGTTAAGTAATTTAAAAGTTTCATTTAAACAAAATATCTTTGTCCTGAATTTTTATAATTTATTGTCGATTAATACCTGTGACGCTAGCAGAACCTATCCTGCGATGATGTGCGCCGGGAGAGGGAATTGAGGCTTGTGAAGCCGTTAGCCCTGTTCCAGGTAGAAGCCCATGGTGATGAGGATGATGATGGTGATGCAAAGCGTGATGATGATGTACCATTCCCTGCATAGGTAAGGCAGAACCAGGGTGTCGCGGCTGGTGGGGCCGCGTTTTTGTAGGTTCGGATAGGGCAAGAATCTTGCGAACAGCTTGCGGCGACGCGGCGCCTACATTAAATGATAAACGAAACATCAATGACTAATTATTGCAACTATGATTTAATTCTAACAAATTGTTCAAAACATGTGCTATTTATTAAAACAAGAAAATAAAATTAGATTAAATAACAACATGACTTTCAGTACTAGAATTACTTTAACATTGTTAAGCACTAACTGCATTTTCATAATGCAAAAAAATAAGTAATGAAAAACATATGAATGTAACATTTAGATTACAAGAATCAAACATTGTTTAAAAACGAAACGATTTTTTAATTAGGAAAGAAGCAAATATTTAATCGCAATAAGGGTAATAAAATGAGTATAAAATATGTTTGTCACTAAAACTGAAATTCTCACAGCAATATATTTCAAAGCTTTAATACATTCAAAATGTGATGTTATAAAATTATATATAATTTTCAAATAGGCAGTTAAAAAAATAGCAATTTTCTAGTAAATTAAACATAACATGAAACTGTTTGAATAAATTTTTGTATAGTTTAGAGAAAATATGAGTATAATTTTTTGCTTCACATGCTTTGAATGAGAACACATATGCTCGCAATTTGTGAATAAAAATGTTTAAGCTATCATTAATTGTCAATTATGTCAAAAGCATGCCATTTATATTTGCATAAGTGCTGCAAGTTAGTCACAATTAAAATAAAAATTAAGAGTTTAAGATTTCACACAAATATTAACCAATACCATTGTTGAAACATACTATTTAAAAAAATAGTACATATGAATAATAACTCCTCATTCACATATATATGCTTTTTCATAGAGACCAATATTCAATCAAGTAAATTTAGCGCAATTGTGGACACTACTATATTATGTTAATTTATATAAGTCAGAAACATATTTCATTAAGAAAGTCAAATAGATTTTTTGTCAAATATTTAATTGTTATTCAATATTGCTACTTAAGATCAGTAGCATAAAAAGTCAAATTCAGTGAAGTAAAATTAAGCATTCAACTAAAATTATAAAGTTCACAAATGATTACCAAATTTAGTAGCTGCAATTCCCTTCTTCCCTTCACTGGCAGAACTTGCACTGCTAGTTGTGGATAAGGTAGGTGATGGATGCCTTTTTCTAATTGGAACAGAATTGGGTGCTGAACCACTAGGTTCACATTCCAAAGATAAAGCATGTAACTTTTCCTCATCAGTTATTATTTTCATGTTATTCAGATAGGCTTTAACTCTTCTCACCATCTGAGCTTCTTCGAACATCTTTTTAGGATTGGGTGCAGCTGTTGACTTTTTACGTCTTTTTACAGTTGCTTGACCTGGGTAAATAATAACTATGATAATGATTTCATATATACACATAATTAATATAAAAGAAATATAGTATTCCATAGAATAGAAGCATTAAAGTCTATAAGTCTAAAATTTTTTTGTATTTGAATAAAATACATAAAGTTTATATTTTCCTGACCTTGCTGAGCATTTGTTCCCCCTGTAGTGGCAGTTGTCATCTGATTCAATGCAACCATAGCTGAACTTGGAGGCTGTCCTCCCAGCTCGAGCATAGTCAACAAGTCATAAGGACTGCTACACATATTTGTCAAGGATCTTACTTCTTTAGCAATCATCCTCAATTTTTCAAAATTTACTAAACCATCCACACGTGAATCATTTCCCAAATGAATAAATGTTAAGTCTTTTTTCACAATGGGGTAAAATGGTATCTGAAATTTAAAAAAAACACACTAGATAGTAAATTATTTTCAGGTAAAATTTATACATAACAATAATGATTAGTTACTTAATCATCAATAATTAATTACGACAATTGAAATTTAAAGAAACTTATAAATGTTTTTTTGGTAATAAAACAAATATAAGATAATCATATTTTTAATAGTTATCAGAAATATTTATCAAAAAAATTATTGATTATTGTATGAAATTGTAAAATAAATCCCTAAATTGTATTATTTTGAAACATATAAACTCACAATGGGCGGTTTGCTTTGTTCAGAACTTATAAGTTGTCTATATTTAGACATATTTCTTGAAGGATCCATCAGTTCTTGCAAATCTGAAAACAATCTTTGATATTTTGTTGATAATTTTTCCCAAGAAACTCTCAATCGTGAAACAGCACCATGACCAAGGCCAGAAATTATTGCAAACATGGAATTAAAATTCTTGCATTCTTTACATTGCCCTGTAAAAATGAACAAAACATCAAATATAAATAAAAATAATTAATATTACACATAAATAAAAATTTATCAAATAATATGTATTTCTGGAGGAAAAGTACATAATGTAATAACTGAATTAACAACAAGAACTGTTGCGTCACATGTAAATCAAGTAATTTAAATTTAAAATTTTAAGAACTGATATAGTAAAAAGTATATTTTGCTGTCTCAAAATCTATTTCTGTCATTTAAACAATTTAGAATATAATTACATTTAGTAATATATATATATATATGAGTGAGTTCTTGAGGGCGATACATCAAACAAAGAAAAGCCAAAGATTTATAAAATAATCTTTATTTCCAAACGTTTCGACATTCAATTTAATGTCATCATCAGTGGATATTACGTTGGTTAGTTACATATAGAGAAGTGTACACAGCACTAGAGATTTGGCACTAACATTTATACAACTAACTTGTCAGCACTATGCATTTTTTTATATAATTTTTTTGTATGATGTAAACAGAAAAATGATAGTTTTATTGAACAAAAATGTAAGTAGAATTATGTAATTTCTGCCACGACTTCTGTACTTTGCTAGTACCGAGGCATGTATATCAAGAACTCACTCATATATTTCAACATCAAAATTAACTACTAAATCATATATATATATATATATATATATATATATATATATATATATATATATATGTACGCATGCATATCAGAATTATGTACTAATAAAAAATATTCACATACTTGCTACTTTGATAAATTGTTTAATAATCTTGCTTCTTCTAACTAGGTTATGTTCACTGCATACTTCTGTAACCACCCAGAACATTTCTCTATTAACTAGTTCTGAAAACTGCGATAACATCGGCATTCCATATCTGCTCTTCAGTTCAAAGAGATCATCAACATACTCAGTACTTTCAATTTGCCTGAATATACTAAAATCTTGTAAAGTCAACTGTATAGCAATTTCTACAGCATTTAATTGTAAGAAATAAACAGCGCCTTCCCTGACCAACTCAGGTGCCATTTCATCAGCAACTAATGTTTCTGTTATGCCATTAGTTTTTAAGTAATATCGAGAATTTAAACCTATTCTTTCTGCTAAATTCTGCAATTGGTCAGGTAATCGTCTTTGTTTTATCATTCCACCCTCTGCCACTGATACTTCACACAGTGAAAAATTAGAGCTTGGGTCAGTTATACCAAATTCTTGAAGAGCCAACATCACCACTTCATGGGCAGTAGTTTCTTTATGAACCTAGTTTTTGAATAGTAATATATAATAACTCGATAGTATTGAAATTAGATATGACACGTCACTTTAATTCAACTCACCAATAGATATTTGCATGTTTGGTCTGATTTAAATACTTTGAGGACATGTTCTGGATAGTCAGAACCCCTCAAGTCATCATAGCATGACATTAAATCAGGATTACTATGTGACTGATATAGTTGATTGTTTTGGTTGCTATTTGTTAATCCAGTATTTGTGAGAGGTATATTGCTGTCATCATTTGCTAAACTTTCACTGAAAAAATAAATCATATTTGTATTACTCAAATTATGATGAATTGTAGATAATACATTATAATTATTGTTACATAAATGGAACATGCTAATGTTACATAGTATTTGGAATAATGAAGTATTTTAAATAATAATTTCATTTTAATAAATAATGCATCCAGAAAATATCACAGCTTTCACATATTGCATTTTTATTACTTACTTGATAATATTCTTTGGTAGAATATTCATTTTCATCAGTGCCTTTTGTAGTCTTTTTTTGGGAGCAAGTGTTTTGAAACCAATATGTGAATCCTTTTTGTTATTACTTTCTTTGTTTGGACTTTGTATTGTAATTGGGGCTTTAGATAAAGGTTCTTCTGCTGACAGCAATTCTACTGACGATAATCGTGCTTTTGGATCCGCTTGTAATAATGCAATCTCTGATACTTTTCGTCCTCTGGGTCTTGGAGAGTTATCAGGAGTTTGTAACATTTCTTTAAATGCTATATAAATATGAATAAACCATTAATCAGAAACCCAGTAAATTATAATTACAAACATTATATAATTATTAAAATCTAGACCTAATGTTGAATAAGTATTTAAATTTTAAAGTTCTAAATTTTTATTACACCACAGACAGTAAGATGCCAAGCAGTGTCAACTATAATTTTATAATTAAACAATACTACATTAAAATTTAAACATTTCAAATATAATTATTATCTATTCCTCTATTGAAGTTAGTTGAATTACTAACATGAATAATACTAACAAAAATTATTAAACTTTTATTTACTTACCAAGTAAATTACTCTTCAATGTTATGCTTAGATGTGTAGTTCCTCTTAAAATATCCAAAGCTTTGTTGTAACTGACATGTTCAAAACTTTGGCCATTAACTTCCAAAATTTGGTCACCTCTTTTCAAACCAACATCCTCAGCTCTAGATTTCTTATCCACTTTGGATATAAAAATTCCAAATCCCCTTTCATAACCACCAAGTATAGAAAATTGCAATGGCTCATCTCTAGATGGTCTGGCCAATGTAACATTTCTAGTTCTTGCTTTTGCTGCACATGCAAATTTCAACAACCTTAGCTGGCCTTGCATATTTTCTTGTTCCAAGCCACCTTCAAAAACTTCGAGAAAATCCATCATCTGAGGATCCGTTTCAAAGTCTGTGAAGTGATTGTTGACCCACAGCAGCACAACTCTAGTAACATGATCACGAATATGAGATTCTTTAAACCACACTAAAAGTTGTTTAGCAACATCTAAAGAACTATCAATAAATGTTCTATGTGTCAGTAGGAAGTCTTCAATGTACGTGCAATCTGTTACAGAATTTTCTTCTATCAGCTGCAGCATCAAACGTTCCGGAGTACCCTGTAAGATTAGATAATTATAATTCATTTGTTCATCACAATTGTTATTTTACAGATTATATAAAGTGTATAAAAAAACTCACAATTAATAATATATCCTCACAACTTTTCTACAAATTACAAAATCCTATTTTAATTGTCATACTTAAATTTGAGTTTTACAAAAATTGAAGTTTGTAAAAATTTAGATTAAATCCAAAAAAGCTTTCACACTTGAGTTAATATTAATTTTATTTACCCTTATAACAACATGCCCCCTTTTGCCACCTTCTTCCTGGTCACCTCTTAATTCTGTTATCATAACAAGTCGACCATCTTCCTCATGCCTTCTTGTATTTTCCTCACCTTGATGTTGAATTCTAAAAATAAAATTAATAAATAAGTAACAAGGTAAATTGTGAACATAAAAAGTTCCTAAGTATAAAAAATAAGTATTATTGATCTCTACCTAAAATAATCTGTTTGAGTTATGCAAACAAATTGGCAATCATCACACAAAGTCCTCATAACCCCTCTATGATATAGCTTTTCCATTGTTGGTCGGATTCCAAAACTATCCCCCATATGCAGTTGTTCAGTTTCCCCATCATTATGCTCAATCTCAACACGACCATTGATTAAAACTGACCAAGAATCTAGCTCTTCACCATCACTCATGACCATAGTGCCTGCCTTTTCAACCACTGCAAATACCATCACAGAACAAAGAGCTTTACGTACAGCTAATGTCATGTTTGTAAATGCTTTCAATGTTTGTGTCAGTTCTAATAAAATTTCTATATCAGCTTCATCACGATCTGCAGGGTCTTTCTCTAAACACTCACGAACTGTGTCACGGACCGTCAAGCTCTGAAATTAAAATTATAAATTTGTTGCAATCCTAATGTACACTTGAATAATGAAAGAAAATTTGAATATATTAAACAAAAATTATTTCATCAATTCATTCCAATATTTAAATTTAACGCTTAATTTATAATGAAATTTGAAATAATATGCCTATTTGAGCAAAAATAAATGAAGCTAATCTTTTAAATGTCAAAATTTTAATTGAATTTTTTTTTTCTTTGTCTAATAATTGTAAACTAATTCAGTTTGAATTTACTTACAGTTGTTAAATTTGTTAAAATAGAAGTTTATATTTTATTATTATATACATTATTCATAATAAATATCAAAATAAATTTATGATAATAATTTGATCATCTTTTTCAAATTATTATATCCTATAAGGTGTTTATAACATAATAAAATAATTTTAAATTTAAAAAAAAACTCACATCCATGCTCTCTGCAAGATCTTCTTCTTCATCAGAGTCCACAATGGACTCCATCAGACCCGACAAGTCCACTTCATCATCTCGGTCCCTGTCACCAGCATCATCAAGTGAACTATGAACAGACGTCATTGTGTCACTTCCGCTATAAGCAGAACTAGTATCACTTGAGTGGGAACCACGATTGCACTTCTGGTACAGCTCTGGTCTTATTGTCACAGAAGTGTTCGTCAAATGCTAGAATAAAAATAATATATAACATTGCTATCATAATAATTACTTAACTTGACTCTTGTTAATATGATTTTACAAATCAGCAACTCAATACAATGTATACAAGTAATATTTCATTGTTTATCAAATTATAGATAAATTTTTAAACATATAAAATTGAAATATCTTTATAAATATCTTAAGTATTATTAATTCTCTTATTTCAGTATATATATATATATATATATATATATAAATATTCCAAAATAAATATAAAACTTCTAGTCTACTCCTATTACATTAATATATATCATTTTTAGCACACCATAGCCCAAATAATTCTTAAGTATCTATATTCCCTTTGCTTTTAATAGATACTAAATCATAGTCAGTAGCAATAGCTCTACATTTGCAATAACATTAATAATAAAACAATGTATGATCAGTGTAATAAATACTAAGAACAAATAATATTGTTCTCACGTGATGCACATCGGATCAATATACAAATTTATCGGCACCCCATATATAAATATAGTGCCAACAAATTTTTCATCTGTGATGTATGTCTCCAAAAAAAACCTACTAATGTTTTTATTTAGCAAGTATTTTTGTTTTGTTAAGAAAGCATATCTCCTAGTTTAATGTCTAATTAATATGTGAAATCATTAAATAAGATGTGGGGAGACTACAGGCTATTTAACAAAAAAAAAAAAAAAAACATGATTTATGAAATTGTAAGTCCCATTATTTTTAATCTTACAATTCAATAATTTATTAGCAAATAATAATAATAAATTTACTATACTATAATTTAAGTAAAATATCATCAAACAAGTTTAATACAACACAAATAAATTGTGTAGCTATGTTGGATGTAGAGAATATAATAATATGTAAAATATTATTTTAACTTCTCCTCCACTTTTTAATTGCGTAACTTTGTCGCAACTATGTATAGTTTTGTAGTTTGAATAAAATTATGTTTTATCAGGTATTACTTTTAGCAAAGTAAAATAATTATAATACACATTATATGCAATCTTTTAAGAAATATAATGATAAATGTAATAATATAACATACATTGTCATCAAACATTAAGTTGATTCCTGAAATGCCTCTCTGATGTTCCATTGTGATGGGGTGGGGCACCCCACCTTGTAAATGCAACGGCGCCCCAGTTCCTCCTATTAAACGGCTATTCTGAGCTCTAGTTGGTTGTGCCTCAGGATAATCAATCTAAAAAAAAATGCTTCGTTATTCTAAAAATTATTACATAAATGTTATATTTTTAAAGTACAAAAATCAAATATAAAGCATCAAAGTTGCTTAATATACAATTATTAAAAACATTTCGCATCACAAAACATTTTTAAAGTGAGTTTTATAAATGCAGTACTTAATACTCATATAAAAAAACTACTATGATAAACTTATAATAAATATAAAAATAGTAAACATTACTCACAAATAATTTATAAAATTCATTTTTTTATGCATTCGAATAGAATGAATATTTCAATCATACATATTATTTACATCATGAAACGTGAAAATAGTAGGTTAAAATTGTATACAGTGTAAACAATTATTCTAACACACTAGAAAAACGAAAAAAAGCTACCCTACTTCCATAAAAACTCATTTTATTCATTAATGAATAACTTGACAATATAACATTAAAATAATTGTTTAAAGCCGCTCAAAACATGAAATAAATTGATACATAAACAAATATGAGTCATAATATTTTTGACAAAGTTAGGTTAATCCATGGACCGAGTCTGACAGCAGTGTTGCCAGATACTGCAATAATAACAGAATGACCAATTCACAATTACATGTGTTATATTCCATATTAATAAATAAATTATATATTTTATTAAGTGAATATACAAAATATATTAATTAATTGATTATTTAACGTAATATTTTGGACTAATAAATAATTATGATAAATATCAAATATTTAAATTTGAAAGCAGATATTCTACAGTATCGGGCAATACTAAGTAAATTCAAAATTTCTAGTTTGCCAGTCCTTTCAATAACAACATGGAAGTTGGTTGTAAATTGTTGTAAATGTCGTTGTGTTGTGAAGTTTTTAAAATAACTTTTCAGAATGGAAAGAATGAATCAAAATTATATAAATGGTTATAACTTCTGTAATAACAATAAAAATGATCAAGAATATAATAAAAGAATTTCGTTGCCGATCCGTGGTAGATTGCCGCTCAATATGATATTATCCGAAACAGCATATAAAAAAGGGTATGAACCGAAAATTGATAAAAATCACAATACTAATATAAATACATGTGATGTACAAGAAAATCTTTTCGAATCTGTAAAATATCCTGCAACAGCAAATAGAATGAGAAAGCAACCTGATACAATGGTCTGTGACGTTTATGAAAATGATTTAAACTTGGGAAATACAAATTCAACGATAATGGATGAAAATGCTTCATCAGATTTATTTAACAGTTCTTTGTCGACATTTAGTGGCAATCAATGTCGTACTCCGTTTGATGATTATTGTTCTAAATTTGAAAATCGCGAGATGTCAAAACGCTCTCCAAATTTATATACAGGAGTTCAAAATTATTATACAAATAATATTAATGAAAATCATTTTAAATCTGACGAAGATTTATCATATAATTCCAACTATTTCAAGCACATCAAATATGAACAAAAGCAATCACTTATGAGCAAAGATTATGATAATTCGGGGGATCTCGATGAAACTCACCAATATACTAGAAATGTTAATTCAAATTCATACAATTATAATGCTCCTTTCGAGAACTTTGATATGTCTTTATATTCAAATAAATCAATAGAAAATTTGACGAACAATCGAATAACACGAGTTCAATATAAATATACTGATACTTCTGAATACATTTTGAAAGAAACTGACATTGAATACACTTTATATAAATAAGTGACATTATGAATAATTTAGTTGTAAGTGCCATTGTAATTTTTGTGATACTTGTATATAATATTCCTTATATAGCCAGTCGATGAAAGTGATATCAAGCTAAATAGTATAACATATTTTTATTGTGAAAATGAAATTGTATTTTCAGAAATAAACTTTGTACTTTTATAATGAAGGATTTTGTTTCATTATATTATTGTTATATTATGATATATAGTCATTGTAAAAAATGTATATAGACAATATATGAAAAAATGGTATGGCCGAGATACAAAAACCTTCAAGAAACTGTTCATATTTATTCATACTAAATGGACAACTCATAAAATTAGAGATTGAGTTTATTTTAATGAGTTCAAAGAAAAATATTGTAAATAAGTAAAATTGCACTTATATAAACCACTTAATTCAAATAATGATGTAATTTATTAAGTAGAGGAGATAAAAACTATGTATCTTATAAAAATTTATTGAAAAGGTTTAATTATTTTGATAGACAAATTTGTCAAAGAGCTAATAAATATTACTATATACTAATATTGCAATGAATAAATAATCTTTAATTGCAGTAGATTTGTAATATCATCAGTATAGTAACACTTCGAATTTAAAGAATCCAGAGCGAATAACTGTTGAATTAACAAACATACAAATGGTTCATATAATTTTTGGCTACCAAAAATGCATTGAATTGAAATTATAGTACATTTTTTTCATATTTAAACGCTTGTAAAATTGGCTGCCAAAAACAAAAATTGATTAAAAGTAGAAGCTCTATATTTGAAGTAAATATATACTGTATGAAATATAATTTGTAATATATATATAATGTATAATTTCAAATTTTATATTGATTACATTAAAAGGGTCTAATAATCAGGCCTAAATACATAAAAATATGAATTTCTTTAACTAAAATATCATGAAATCCATACGTTTCGGCTGTAACGTTCATTCAGTGGAACTAAAAAATATTTCAAGACTAAACTAGTGTTTAAAAATTAATTCCTTCAGCAAATTGCCTTTAAATAAATTTTCTTCAAAATAAAGTAAAGATTGTCATTGATATTGATATATATATATATATATATATATATATATATATATATATATATATATATATATATATATATATTAATTTAATTGCCATTATTTTATTGAACGTTTCATAGATATGTGATGTTCCTTTCTTCAGGAGCTATTAATAACAAATAAATAAAATTATACACTTACACTTAAAATTTATTTTTATTTAAAAAAAATAAAGAATTTATTGTTTACTTTAGTGACACCCAACACACATCATAATTCATTAAAAAACTATATTTGAAAATTCATTGGTGTAAATGCAAATGTTGTTTTTTTAATTTCAATTTTAATTTAACTTAGAAGTTTTTGAAGAATGCCCTCGAAACCCTCGTAACGTAGAAATATAAATAAAAAATTAAATAACTTAAGGCAAATAAAATCATGGAGCTTTAGTTTATATGTCATACGTACATACATACATTACAAATATGTGTGGGGGTAGGGCAAAAAGGTCCAATTTGACTTCCAGGAACATAATATTTATCGAACAAATAACGATTGAACTATGGTCAGTAAAATTTCCAGTTAACTCCTAATTATTAAAGTATATATTTTTACTATTTTTTTTTTAAATTTGTCATCTGTCCCTTTTTGTCCTATGAGCGAGGTAAGAAGAGACAGCCTTAAGGGCAAATAGATCCAACGTATTTTTTTTTAATTTTACGAAATAATAGCTACATTATTTAACCAATGTGAAATACAAATTTTATGTGAAGATTTTATACAAAGCTATAACGTTTATCTTGTATTTCGAAATAAATATTCATCAGCAGAGGTCGAACAACTATTAATTTTTTTTTAACTAATATTTTTTTGAACTTTTTTCATTTACTATCTCTTGTTGTTCACACCCTTGCTAAGGTAAAGGTTAAGGGGTCTTTTTTATCCCATCTGCGTGTGAGCTTTTATAGAAATTATAAAAAAAATTGTTGAATCTAATTTAGAAATAACAATATAGCTCACAAAACAGTTAAAAAACGCATACCTAATAACTATATTCAGGTATAACAAACTAAATACGAAAGCTCAAGACCAAAAAAAGTATCGACAAAGAAATATTTTTGGTTTAAATATCGATATATATTTTTTTTAGCGACGTCGTAACAATTAAGGTGTTGGCTGGTTACACATCTTTTGCCTTCTACTTTAAAATAGTTTCATAATTGCCTTAAATTATTTAATTTTTTATTGATGTTTCTACGTTTCGAGAGTATGGGATGTCCCATTCTTCAAAAACTTGAGTTAAATTAAAAAAAAACATTTGCATTTACACCAAAGAATTTTCAAATATAGTTTTTTAATGAATTATGATGTGTGTTGCGTGTCATTACAGTAAACAATAAATCCTTTAATTTTTATGTTATTAATAGCTCCTGAAGAAAGGAACATCCCATATCTATAAAACGTTGAATAAAATAATGGCAATTTTTCTTTATTTTTTTTTTGAAAAAAACAAGGCTTTTGTTCAGAATTTTAAAAATAGATATAAAAAATTAAATAATTTTCTTGTTTTTGAGATAATAAAGGTGGACCTTTCTACCCGCGGACCTTTAAGCCCCGCTCGAGCCTATATATGACTCCTGTTTTTATAATTTGGAGATCAAATTGCCTTCTTTATGACAATAATATTTTAAATCAGTATACCTGTCGAAATGAATTTCCATGCCAGGATCTAGAATTGATTTGTCTATTTCTGAACGCTAAGAAATCCTTTTTATCCCTGAGGGGAACTTTTCCGCGAAGACATCGACCACAGCAGAACGCTTTCGCGGTTCGGCAGCGCGTGTGCTTTAACATATTTTATTTGCGATTTGGCAAGAAAACATTTATTTGCACTTTATATTAATAATATTAATGTTATTATTTGATTATTTAAAATTTACCATCTAAATATCTATTTATGATTTTTTTTAAATAACGCTGTTAACACTGTTCCATCGTTCATAGTTTAGGTTTTAAATTCATCATTATTACATCTATTAACTGGTCATAGTGCATTTCGTCAACCAAGGATTATTACTAATGGTTTTAATAATATTAACAGTTCTGGTAATTAGTTATTGTTTTTACACATTAGGTCATTTTTTATTAATTCGTAGTGTCACAATAATCAAATAGAGTTAAATCAACACATCCCCTATTCCTCATAAAACTTTTAATAAATAAAAACAGTGCACTAAGTAAGTTAATAGAAAAAATAGAATATTATTGAAATTTACACAACACACTAACTATATCCATATAATATATACGTGTAGGTCCTATCAGATATTCAACATTTCCGATGTATCAAATTTGGACAAAATGTAAACAACTTTTAATAAATAAAGAGTGAAAATTAAAGAGTAAATACGAACGAGTAGGTCCTATCCAATTTCTAACTAATCCATTACGGTTGAACAGGAATTTACTTAATAGATTAAAATGTAAACAGCTTTTAATAAATAAAAGCACTGAGTGAGTTAATAAAAAAAGTATTAAAATTATTACTACACAATCAATCCACAAGTACAAGTAGGTCTTTTCAAATTTTTAACTATCAATCTATTAAAATCGTACAGGAATTTAGTTGATAGATTAAAAATGCAAACAACTTTCTATAAATAAAAACACCGAGTAACTTAATAAAAAAATATAAAAATTATTATTACACATTATCCACACGAGTAGGTCCTTAACTATTCCAATCCATTAAAATGAGACAGGAATTTAATTAATTAATATATTAAAATGCATACAACTTTTGATAAATAAAAATACTGAGTGGATTAATAAAAAAATGAAAATTATTGAAATGTACACAACACATAGTATATTCATACGTATGAAGAGGTCCTATCAAATATTTTACTGTTCCAATCCATTAAAATGAAACATGATTTTAATTAATAGATTGAAATTCAAACAACTTTTAATAAATAAAAACACTGAGTAAGTACTTTAATAAAAATGAAAATAGTTGAAATTAATACAGCGCTCTATAAATCCATACATACGAGTAAATCCAATCCATTAAAATTTGACGAAAATTCAGTTAATAGATTAATATGCAAACAACTTTTAAAAAATAAAAAACACTAAGTGAGTTAATAAAAAATAAATATTATTGAAATGTACACAACAAACTATAATTCCATACAACGTGTATGGTTTTAAATTATTAAAATCCATTCAAATTGAACAGGAATTCAGTTAATAGATTGAAATGCAAACAACTCTGAATTAATAAAAACACTAAGTTATTAAAAATAAAAATTATTCAAATTATCACTATATATTATAAATCCACACGTAGGAGTAGGTCATATGCATTAAAATAGCACAGGAATTTAATTAATAGATTAAAATGCAAACAACAATTGAGTCCACCGCAGCAAAGTAATTTCACATAATATTTTATTTTATTAAAATTGCAAAATTTATTTATATTAAATAATTATAATATGGCACAGATATGAAACACACACAATTTACCCCACCAATACAATTTAATGCTCTCTTGATTGCATCGAACAAACTAGTATATCACAAAATATTTGATGAACGCAGTAGGACTGATTAAAATGCAGCGAACGCCGTAAGTATATAAATTATAATAAAAATCAATAAAATAAAATAAAAATATAACTATTTAAAATTTGTGTAAATGCAGCAGTTTGGCATAATTTAAATATTTTATTATTATTACTATTATTATACTCTATATTATTTTATTTGATCATTCACAGTATATTAAACTTAACTAAAAAACTGAAAATATTCAGAGCATATAGTAGTTTACCTTAAACTTATATTTTCAACTTTTATCTTTTCAAAGTCTTAAATTTTAATTTTTCTAACCTTATTATCACAAAATGCATCAAAACTCATTTTATTAAATTTGAAACAACTATTATTGAACTTAAAATTGACCTTCCCATTACTTATTTGATTTATTTAGTAATGATTCAATTTTATTATTAATTTGTTGTTGATCCTCATTTCTTTTCTTGTTTTTCATTAGCAATGCACTTTTATTATTTTTAACTTCCCGTAGGGTAAGTTATTGTAATAGTCCAAAAATCGAATTTGAATTTTTTTAATATTTCTGGTGTTTTGAAGTTTCTGAACATTTTGACATACCTCAAAAAATATGGATATGTGTGTTTTTATATGAATACAACTTTTCGTGCACGTTTTCGGGCGCACGGATCACACAACTAGTTTTTATTTAGTTTTAGTTATGTTCTATAAACTCAATTAGTTTATGACTGTTTCTTCAAAGAACACAAAAAGGAGGTAAATTCTATTTTGGTTCCATTTTTATACATATTAGTCATAATAATTATTAAATATGTTTAGTAATAAAAAATCAAGTGAAATAACAAAAAGTATGATTCAAGTAAAATCTTTAATTGATTCAGATACAATTAAGAATTAATTCGATGCATTTTAGAATGGTTTCGAGCAATGAATGACTCTTTAGTGCAATCAATTTATTTTCAAACTCATTACAGTAAAGACCTGAATACAAAACCTAGAAAATCGCATCAGCTCTTCTATGCAATTGTTTTTGTTGTTGTTGAAACGACTTGGAATATTTGTTTATTTATTTAAGGTACGTAGGTGTTTTAAGGTATAGTTAACAACAAGTAAACAGTTTGATGTAATCTTGTAGAAATTTACTTAAGACTTATTTCATTAAAACCTAGTATACCGTTCCTAGTTGATAATAATGCAGACAGTATAGTAGTACATGTGTATATATATTACAATAATGGTCGTTATTGGAAAGTTAATATTGACCCATAGGCAGCAATATGTTGTACATGTTCTTATAACATGGTGTATAATAAAATTAAAATTTTTAAATTTCAAACAAATATTTACAAAAAATAAAATGTTATTTATAAATGCAGTATTACTGCGCTACTGTGTTATGGCATATGATAAGAATGCTTATTGTATGATATTATAGAGTAGGGCTCCGGAAACTGGCGTTCATTCTCGTTTTCCAAAAAGATAACATTACTTGACGAAGTGAAGTTCTTAATTCTTTAAATATGTGTTTGGAAAAAAATATTCCTAAACTAAGTTCATTTTCATTGCTTCTTTTTTATAAGACAAACGACAAAGAATTTTCTAATGATAAGACATAATCTACTAAAATAATATTTAATAATAGTCGAACCTGTTATCTGATATCTTTACCAGAAATATATATTTATTAAAGTGTATTGTAATTAATATTACACTTCTAGCAGAATCAGATGAAATGGATGGAATGGTGGCTTCTAATATCTATTACATATTTATTAATTATAGCTCATTTTATAAAGTGAATTTCACTGTTCATTTATATAGATACATTAACACACTCACTGCTGCTCACGCATATGTTGCGTGAGACTGTTGTCAATAGCGAGGCGTCGAACGCAACAGGTGCTTTCGCCTTCCTTGCATTTTAGAGTAGTGTTTTTAGTAAAATAAAATGTTTGAATTGAAGTTTTGTACTGCAATTATTTCAAACGAGTAGTTCTATTTATCATATTACCGTACATTATTTTTAATTTCCAGCTATAATGTCCATAAATTAATTCATTTAATATTAAACGATCAAAAAGATCAGCACAGAAGAATGATAAGCAACATAAGGTTCGCAGTGAATGTGTTAAAACGGCAATATTTTAAGACTTTCTTGCTTTTATACATTTCGGTTTAAGTTATTTAGTTGAGAAAAAAGATGATAAACCTACATATTTGCTTTATATAACATCTACGAAAACATCATTAAAATAAGAATTAGTGGTTAAAACTATTTTTTGAATTTTACTATAATTTATTTTAGAATTTAAAAATATGGAAAATGATTTGGATTTGAATTTTCAAAAATATACAAATTTTTAAATCCAAAAGTTCTTATATAGTTGAAAAAAGGAGGTTCTCTAAAGCATGATGAAATATGAGATAAAGCCCTTCATATATTTTGTCTATAAATACGAATAATGAGAATTACAGTATTTAGAATAATCTATTTGAAAATATTTACAACAATTGTTATTAATCATTAACCAATTATTATTGATTATGGATTATATTTATTACTCGAATGGGAAGTTCCAGCAATTGGTCTTAAGGTACAATTTCAAGCATCACTAGTTATAAAAGTTTAACTAATGATATTTTCAAGGTTCAATACGAATCGAATTGGAATATAATGCGCACAAAATGTAACATTAGTAATTTTTTTTTGAGTCGTGTCACTTTCACACAATCAATTAAAACGTTTCTTATAAAATTCTGAAGACTAAAACACAATATCGTGTACAAACATCCTTTTCATCTCCTTTTAATGCTACGCTCGTGTTTTTATTATTTTTAGCTGGATAATTCTTACACTCATCAATATCTATGCTGTTATTATCGTGACAGATAACACTACCCCTCGTAATGTTATCATCAAGGCGATGGAAAAATGAGAAAAACAAAATGAAGAAAATGTGAAAATGCGAAGGAAATATGAAATTCATCTCGACACTTACAACGATCATCTCTGACGGCTCTAGGACGAAGCATTCGTTCGAACGGCGCGCGCTGCCACCCGTGCGTTTTCCGAAGCTGGAAAAGAAATAAAACACAATTAGTATTTAACGATATTATTTAAATTCGTCAAAAATATATCATTTTCATAACATATAAATCTAAATGACATCGTTGAAAACTCATTTTCAAGGCAGTAGAGAAACTGAGTGATAGCAAATAGATTATAATTGGGTCATACTAAGAAACAACCCCTACCCCAGTAACATTATAAACTCCGCCGTAAATAATAGACTCAAGTACCTACAAAATTTTTATTTATTAACTTCCCGTAGGGTAAGTTATTGTAAGCGTCCAAGAATCGAAATTTAAATTTTTTGCATTTCTTCACGTTTTGAAGGTTTCTGAACATTTTGGCATACCTTAGAAAAATCGGATGTGTGTGTCATACATACAGTATGATACAATTTTTCGTCCACGTTTTCTTACGCACGGATCAGCCGATTTGAATGATTCAAACAACATTCGATTTCTACTGATAGCGAGATGTGCTGATTAGTTTTTCGCAAAGGCAGATCTAGCCGTTTCGGAGATACGAAGCAAAATGTTCAGAAAATAGAAATCGACTTTGAAAGAACGGAGCGTCCGATTTAAATGATCCAAAAAACATTCAATTCGTAATAACGACGGAGGAAGTGGTGATTAGATTTTAGCAAGTCCAGCCATTTCGAAGATACAGAGGTAAATGTTAAAAAAATGGCAGTTTTTGAGAGAACTAAGCATCCGATTTGAGTGATTCAAAAAACTTCCTGCTCGTGTTGACGAAATAATTGCTTATGAGGAAAAAATAATTAATTTTTTTTATGTCCATATATATATATATATATATATATATATATATATATATTTTAATATAGAAAATAATTCGGATTTTAATTTTAATTATAGCTAAAGTTCTAAAGCTCATTTATATACTTGAAATAAATAATTTTAACTTTGCAATTCAGTTTATATAATTCTTATAATTATTATACAATGTCCGTCATTTTAAATTCGATTGATTAAGTTTTGTTTATTCACTTTTCTGTAAACATATATGAGTTACAGTATTTATAATAATCTATTTGAAATCACTTAATATTCCTCGAATTCATTACGGTACGGGAAGTTCTAGCAATTTTCCTTAAGGCACCATGTCATACACCGCTAGTTTATTTATTGTTTCAACAGCAGTCAGACCTACTCAGAAATACATTGTCCTATAAGCTGTAGTTTTAAGACTAATATTTTTCATGATAGGCAACCCATCGGTTAACCATTCTCCTATGCGTAGCGATAATATTAGCTCTTATCTTTAATAAATACCTACTTAATGAACAAAAGTACCTCAGTGACCAAAAAAAACCTTTGAACCCAGAATCATATACCAATGTATACATTTTGTGGATAAAATTGTGATCATTGTTGTGGCCCGTTCATAGATAAAAGTCTGTTAGCGGTATGAAATTATAATTCAACCCTTAGCTCGATTTTTGCACAAGTCAATCAAAATTTAACTCGGACCGCCTCAGAAACTTATTGTTAGTTCATCAAATTAAATGCTCAGATTGTGAATTCACATACATAGGCGAATAAGCCAAAATTTGGGCAAACATAAAAATAGTTCTAAAAATAGAAAACAACTTGAAATCCTAGTAACTGAACACATTAATTATTTAAATTCAACATATCTCGCAAATATAATTTTTTTTTAAAGTGATATTTCTATTTTTGACTCACTGTCAGTACGCAATGGCGATATTTTAACCCTTTGCATTGAATTTTTAAAAATTACAACTGAATTCGAAAATCTCATTAAATTAATGTTTATATATGTTTAGGGACGATATTATTTTTCATGCTATCAGGCAGCATTAGCAATACATGATCTCATATTTTAATCCTTTATTCTTTAATATAATGTATTATTTGAAATACAACGCCCACAGAAAGTCGTGCGCGCATATACGGCTTTATATGTTTATATATGATAGAATGTTATTATATAATACATGGATTTTTCCTCCACTCATTTTCCTTTCAACATTACCGATTCACCGACAGATAAAGTCAAAGGTCGACTTACCCGAATATGTCATTCAATTTTCGGTTATTCAGAACAAAAACAATTGGTCTGTTAATGATTATCTAATGGGACAGCAGCAGTATCAATTTCAGAATAATATAATTGCAAATTAAAACTGAAATATGTTGAAAAATAATATTAAATACTTTTTAATTAGTTATGTAAGGTAGGTTAGAGCTAAGGGATTTCACCCAGAAGTTCAGGGTTTGGTATCTGCCTCGAACAGCCTGATGTCAAGCAGTAGTGACATCAATTACCACTTGGCAATATAGACGGCAATGTTTCCAAGCCTAAAATTTATTAGTATTACAGAAATTGTAATAAAATTCATCACACAGAGATGAGACAACCATATGGGTTGCCAAATATATAAAAAAATGGTTGGTTGTATATAATTCAAATATTTTTCCATTGGATATAGCGAGTTGCACAGTAATATATATATATATATATATATATATATATATATATATATATATAGTATTTAAATTTATATACAATTTTAATTAAACAAAAAGAGTGCGCGTAAGGTTTACACCCGAATGAAGTAAAACTTATTTGCTACTGTACAAGATGGCATTTAAGTAAAAATAAATACATCATATAACAATTTTGAATAATGTTTATTATTAATAAGGTAACACTCGTGATGCACACATTTATTAGTGTCAACCATTATATATATTTATATAATGATAAATTATAAATTATATATTTATGATAGCATTAAAAATATGTATAATATTTAAAAACAATAATGTAATTAAAGTCATACTTCAAATATGACATGATCGGTTTGTCATTGTAATTAACATTTAGAAATTTAGAAGCTTCAATAGAGAAATGAAATAAATTGGTAATAATGAAAATATGCTAATTGTAAGAAAAAAAAACATATAAAAACGTGAGAATTTTGTAGAGCTTTATGTTTTATTTATGATAGGTTTTATGATTTTAGAATGTCACAGATGAACAGACAAATAGGAAGATAAACAAACGACTACAAAAAATGCTAAAAACAAAACATCTGTTTGATTAATTGAACATGTACATTAGAGTGGTCCTTAAAATAGTCATTTTCGAATTTCCTTGCTCCCAGGGGCTCCAATGGTTCCAAATTGATAAAAAATAACTTTCTGAAAGTTTTAGCTCTTAATATTAACGTTTAGATAGAGCGCAATTCAATCAAAGTTTTGTATGGAAATAGCATGAAAAATTTTTCAAAAATTTTAAAAATGTTTTTTAGATGTAATTTAGCGAACAAATTAATGAATAAAACTCATTCATTTGTCGTTAAGTTATACCTAAAACATTTGTTTTTTAAATTTCAAAATTTTTCCATGCTCTTTCCATACGAAGTTTGATTGAATTGCGCTCTATCTAAACGTTAATATTAAGAGCTAAAACTTTCAGAGAATTATTTTTTATCAATTTGGAACCATTTGAGCCCCTGGGAGCAAGGAAATTCGAAAATGACTATTTTAAGGACCACCCTAATGTACATATATAAATATGATCAAAACAACGTCAAAAATACAGCAAGATATTACACGTCGTACCTTAAAATGATTCTTGACATTTTGATGCGTTAATATTTGATTTGACTCTGTTGTTTTGACGCTGGAATATTTATCACTTTTTGCACATACACAAAAAACCTAAAGCATACCTACTAGTTGACATCAAAGCAAAGATTCAATGCTTCAGAGGAAATGTAAAAGCTGGTAAAAAAATGTAGCTAAATACTAATAGTAGTGATACTTTTTGTCTTATCATTACTAACTATGGAATAGAGAATAGAGCCATAGTTAGCAATGAAATTCAGCATTTGTGTGGTTCACATTTATTTCTTAAAACATATTTCCAGTGGAAATTTTCCACCTTATTTAGGTTACCTCATATTTTTGTTTATATACATATGTATATATATATATATATATATATATATATATATATATTATTGGTAAGAGCTTTGACCTTAGAACCAGAAGGTTCCAAGTTCCATACCCACTTTGAACAGCCTGATATCAAGCAAATGTGAATGTGGTTTTCTCTTGAAATTTTAGATGGAAATATGTTTTCAAGTGAAGTCCTTCCCTGAAATTGCTGCATCAATTAGTTTTAGAGAATTTCTAATAATAAAATGTATCAAATAGAGGTAGGCCAACCGTTGGGTTGCCTTATTGAAAAAGAGACTTGGTCAAGGAAAATAGTCATCACAACAGCTCAAAGAACTGTCAGGTTTTCATTGTTATTCAAAAATAAATATATTTAGATATTATTCTAGTTATTATTAATATATTAAAGTGCTAGTCGTTTTTAACTGTGATTGACGAATATACACGTCATGGACTATTGGCAGATTTTGTGTATAGACAAGTATACTCATCGTGTATATAAACCAGTGACCATTTATATTATTACTACTATTGTAGTATACAAAATATATTCTGAAATGTCAAGTTGTTTAGAATATTTCGATGCTATGATTGTATAAAGTAAGTAGTTGCATAAGTCATTTTACCTTGAGGGAAGTTGCATGAATTTCCCGAAATGTGGAATAATTTCCTTTGAAAAATTAAGATTTTCCAATTAAAATACCATTTTCTATAGTTTTTTTTGAGAATAGTTTAGTTACTTTCATCAAAAACTATTTTTACTTTCTTACATTTACTTCTATAATATTTCATTGAATATTATTAACGTTTTTAGTTTAATACGTATGTAATATATACTTATGTAAACAAAGAAGTAAATGCGTAAAAAAATGTAAAAAACAGATGAATGTTACATAATAATATGAATATGTAATAGATTATAAAAAGAAACTGACAAAATAATATACCTGAAAACACATATTGCATATGTGAATATAATATAGAACAACATGGTATCATATGAGCTTTCAGCATTGAAACTGCTAATTAATTATTACAATGTTTTCAACATAAAG